TTCCAATTACTGCGTTATTTCGCTCATTCAAGTCGACGTCTCATATTTTTGCATGAAAGACATGGCTTATTCCTTGCTGTGGGGCCTTTAAAGCCTTGATCCTTGATGCGATTTCTAATTGTTTGGTCAGAAACGATTACCCCATATTCCGGTCTTAGTTCTTGGTTTAATTTGGGTGCAGAAATCCTTCTATCTGTCGTCACTATTCGAATGATGTAGCAGTCATGGGTGGTTGTCGTTTAGATGGGCTCACCTCTCCCAGCTTTGTTGACGATTAGCCCAGTATTCTTTCATTTAACGATAACATATTCAACCCAACTAAGTTTCTGTAAAGTTTTCTCAGCAATAGTTCGAACTGGAACACGGTTCTGGTGGTGTCGGATGATAAGTTGCCTCTCATGAAGTGATAACTCACGTGTCCTAGGGAGGATTAATCTAAGCAAATCTAGAAAAACTAAATCTATGTGAAATATTTTTATAACACATATTTACACTTTACCTAACAATATGTGTACCAATAATATCGAAATTCGTTGTAAAATATGAAACACAAGACAAAGAATCGTGGTGGCCAAATAATACTTTGAGGCGTCATTTCGGTTTTGCCGGGCATAAAAATTCCTGCATCACTGGATGTCAAAATATAGTGAAGGAAGTGAATATGACTTCAAAGAGTATTAATTTTGTGTCAACTTAAATAAATAAACATTGGGAATATTTTCAGAAATCTTTATGATATGTGCATTTGAAATATTTGTTCATGCAAATAATACTTTTATTGACTGTATGTATCGTGCTTTGCCACACTTTATTAAGGGGTGAAAACCCCTTTACGGGAATGTCTTGTCTGTCTGTCCGTCCGTCCGTCCGTATCCACGATAACTTTAGAACGGATGCGAATATCGAGCAGCGGTTTTCGCCAAAGTATTTCTAATTTTTGAAGTACGGATGAGTTCGAAGATGGGTGTTGTAGGTATTAAGGTCACGGCGCCATGGCGACGATGCCGTGTCGAATAGGTGTCGAATTTTTTGTTTCGACGGTTTTAGACGTATTTTGGGACGGGGATTTCAAAAATCGACATCATTTTGACGTACGATGACCGTGTGACCGTGTAGACGACGCCACATGTCAAAAATGTCGAAATTTTTTGTGTTGACCGTTTTAGACGTATTTTGGGGCGGGGATTTCAAAAATCGACATCATTTTGACGTACGATGACCGTGTGACCGTGTAGACGACGCTATGTCGACAAACTCAATTATGTCATGTGAGGTGTCTATCGAAAGGAATAGTCGTGTATGTTCAAAGTACGCGGGAGTTATGTCGACACGGGGCGAAATGAGACGTGGGGTAATGTGAGACAATTGGGGAAATTTACGGGAAAGTATTGAAAGACGATGTGGGTGTGCCACAAGGACATTTACGTGTGTTTTCACCCCTTTGCGACATTTCGTTTGCAACGGTTTATTTTTCAATACATTGGTAATTCCGGATTTCGAAACCGCTTTCCCTTCAGTTGTGAGATGCTTAATTATTTTGCTATACGAGCAATTAAGTTTGGAAAGAATTTTTATGATGACCTCAACTTCTGGGGACAGTGGGGGTGGCATTTTTAATAGTAGAGACTTGAGTTTTTGCACACCTCGGTTCTGCAACCATATGCTACAATGTGCAAAATTTCGAGTCGACACGACAAACCGTTCCGGAGCTATTCAAGGTCAAAGTCGTCACCAGCTGGGTGCCCTACGCTCTGTAACTGATAATAAGAAGGAAGCTGAGGTCATACTGAGATATTCCCGATTGAGCGATGAGATCACGCCCGAAAAAAACTGCATAATGCAGAAATGTTGAGGGACATATTTACAAAATTGTGGGAAGATGGGATAGAAACGTTTTGGCAGAATTTGTACGATGTTACGTCTCGAAGAATGTTACTCGAACAACGCAAAAAATTTTGGCTAGAGAATTCACAAGAAGCAAGTGACGAAGATTTCATCTATCTGTGTAAAAACCAAGCTATCTTCTACCCGAAGTATAGTGTCTTTACTTAATATTTAATTGTGCCTTGCTCGGGGTTTTAAAGAAAGCTGACGAAGTGAATAGTGCAGTAAACGTTTAGTAATTTCCTTAAACTGGATTTTATTCCAAACGGCAAATTACTACAATTACTAATAAATCAACAATTGTCAACCTAATTCAGAGCTCTGCTAACAACACGAGTTGATTGGTGACTAACTATACTGACAAATTAATCGTGGGCAACAATTAAAAAGAACTACAATTCTTACTCTTGTCCGCCTACCACGATGACTTAAACTCAAGTGTGGACGACTTTCCACCTATTTACTTACTACGATTTTATAACAAAGACTGACGCGTACCCACTTTTCCCCCTCTGACGTCACCATGGCAACCACCACCACGTCATGGGGCAATTGTACACATGCACACAAAACATTTTCATACATTCAACATTTTACATTTAACAATCTGGAACACCTCGGAACATTTTTTATTTTAACTGTAGCCCTCTACATGGTTGGAATTGTTATACATGGATGCGAGAATTACATGTTTTTCGTCATTATGTTTAAAAAGATGATAACATGTGCTGCAAATTGGTGGGGAAATATAAGAAAGTGTACAAGGAGGAGTATAATGTCTCTGCATTATTTTAAATTTTGGTGGAGGAACACAATTTTTGTGCGAGTTAGAAGTTTGCCATGAATTATCGTAATTGCAAATGTATCTCAATAAGTCATAGTTCGGGAAACACTTAATTTAGAGAAATTGGCAAGAATATAAAATGCCTGCATATTTACGTATATATTTGAAAACAGTTTGCAATTCAATTTTTAAAAGAAGTATTTATTGTATTATTATTTATTACAACAAATTATTTTTACAGATTTTTCTAATAACTTATTAGATTTGGCACAGTTTGGCGAAGAAGCTTTCATTGAATTTCATGTTTTTATCGTCCATCCTCCTGACTTTCTCAAACACTATTTTTATCCACTATCTACATAAACAAACACACATACGCTTGTTAATTCTCTATACGCATCATCACATCATCGATTTATTGTTTTTCCCATACACCTTAAGCAAATTACAACTAACTCTACATTATCTGAGCCTACTTATTTACTTCCGATAAAATGAATACATTAAATATTTACCCATTCATGTCAATAAAATTGCTTACATACGCGTCAATTGAACAATGTGTTTTTCATGCTTATGTACATGCATCAAATAAGAGAAATTGGATTACAAATCTAATTTGCACATTCTGGGAAAACACATAAATCCGGGACACGATAAAATTCCAGGTATAAATATGTTACAGGTAGCCATTAACCAGCAACCCATTATAAACAATTCCCAATTTGATAAGTATCATTAATCCAGGTTATCACGATATTTGTCCCTTCCGGAACCTGCAATGGAATTCTGTTTTCCAACGTTTGATTTTTATCTTTGGTTCTTGTTAATCTTCATTCCGGAGATTTCCACGAAATAAATAATCTTAATTCCTTTGCTTGATTGGAAAGGGATAAAATATGCCGACAAAATTCTACGCCGTGGTCCATATTAATATTTGCACAACCTGAAAAAACAAGTGTGATATCAAATAAATTTACAAGTTTATTGGAAACCAAGATTATAACAATGGAGCGGCGACATATATTTTTTGCATAAATAGCAACCCTCCCCACTGCACCGAGTATCAAAACGAATCCAGCCTCTAAACCAAGAAGTTAACAGAACCTTAAAAAATCAAAACGTCAAAATGCAGAGGTAAATTAATTTAATTTTATCCTCATTATTGTCTACTCAAAATTTTAAATTGTAATTTTCCAGAGTATCTGTCGCCCTTGCCATTCTCGCCGTAATGGGTGTGGTCATTGCAAGTGCAGAGTTTCGAGAACCCGAAGTTTACAAAGGGATTAAAAATTTTTTGCCGAATTACATCGGAGCTGGAAACTACACCGAGGAATCGAAAGCTAACCAATGCTACCAATGCTCACCTCCGGTATAGAAATTTGATTTTTTTGAATTTGGCGCTGTAATTAATTTCTTAAATTTGCAGTGTTCATCGTATGCTTGCTGCGCTGGTGAGTTTCCACAGTGTTGTTCCATCAATGGGGTTTGTGGATACTGCTGCCGAGGATGAGTATGCATTTAAGTGAATCGCCGTAAGGAATCTTCTGTTACGAAAATTCATGATAAGGTCAAATTTGAGATATGAGTAATTTAATTCTATCACTTAACAATTTATTTTGCAAGAACCCTACTTAAAATTGATGATTATTAATATGCCAACTATGCAATAAATTGAAATAACTATTCGCTTTAAAAAGACATTATTAATTAAAATCGATCGTACTAAATTTGACGGTGTTACGCATGCATCATATTGTTACAAAACATCCCTTGACAATTATTATTACAGTATTCGTCGCCAAGGTCTCCAATTATTACAAAAAATAATTTCCCAAGTTTTTATCACAAAACTAAAAAATGAGCATGGGTGTAATATTAGCATTATTTTTCGTGAGGAAAAATCAACGATATCTTTGGATTATGTGTGCCTTAACGAAACCATCTTAATTTTCGTGCGAATAAATACAGCATTCTTGATTGCATCGTAACCATATTTTGCACAATTTGGAAAAAAATTTGGAATTTCCATCCCCATATCGCGAGTGCAAAATACACCTAATCCCACCATGATCATGCCTCCTAACCATAAGACGAACATATTTGCACTTGACCCCAGTCGCATAAAATATTGTAAAATCCTAGTCAAAGTTTTACCCTAAATCTTTACGATCTAGATATTTAGCACATTTAATAACTCAAGTGCTGGATTAACTCTGGTATGTATGTCATTTATATCTATGAGCGATTATGTATATCCACTAAAACTCAAAATGAATCATCTTCAAGCACTTGACTAATTCTGTGTCGGTCGAGCTATTCCATGCTCATGCTCGTGAGTGAGTATGTAAATCCAATCTAGATAACAGCAACGTACGCTTTTGCTTACTACGGCGTAGCAGATAAAAAATCCACCTCCGTTAGCAAATTCACTTCATTTCGCAACATTCCTTCAATTCTGGGCAGAAATATTTTGCAAAAAATGGGCCAATCTCATTCTTCCCCGGGCAAAAAATCCAAAAAGAAGGTCACCACCAAGGAAACGTTACCATCGAGTATGAGTCCAAGTCGAGCAGCAGCAGCGACAGGTTTGATAAATTTGCAGAATAAATGTTGCAAAAGTGTACAAGACCAGAAATACCAGAGGATGAGGGAAGAGTTTGAGAATGATGTTCAAGAATTTGTTCTTAACAATTTGCTCCTGAGTGTGGAACTATTTGACGATTTTGAGAGGTAGGTACACCCTAAATAATCCGGCGTAGTCATGCACGGGAGTAAACTTCGTGGTGTTAATGGGCTGTAAATTTGTCATAATTCGGTTTAAATTTTTTACTATTTTGGTATAAATTTGGCACCATGTGGTACAAGTTTGTCACCATACTGTCTGAAAATTTGTCATTATGTGCTATAAATTTGTCTCCATTCCGTCTAAATTTTTTACCATTTCCGTATAAATTCCATTCAGTATAAATTTATTATTATGTCATTACGTGCTATAAGTTTGTCACCATGCGGAATAAATGTGTCACCATACGGTATAAAATTACATGCATGCACCCTGCACGGTTTTGAATTTACACCGGATTATTTGCAGTGTATATTCAAATTATTGGTCACAAATAAGTAACGTATTTAGCATATTAACGTCATGGTTCAAAGTCAAAGTAATTATGCACATATTTGTTTTATTCGTGTTACAAATTATGACGAACATGGCGAAGGGCAAGGTTACATACTTTTTCCGAGAATGGACAATAGATAAGCGATTCATTTCCAGCGGATAATCTCTTATCGCATAACTTTATTCAAATAATTTTGGGTTGTGCGACTTTGTAATAAATTTGATAATGGATGATGTATAATGACTTTCTAATCTTCCAGTAAATATGATTATGAATTGTAAAGAGATGTGCATATGTAAGGCATATTATGATTTTGCATAATTTAATTTTTCAAAGGTGAGGTAAAACTCGGCTTCTGTGAGATAAAAATAATCAAATTATTTTTATCTTATTTTTATCTTGATAATAGTATAAACTTTTGTAATAATTTATATACTTAATAATTTATGCTTCCATAAATTACGTAGTGTTTCTTACATAGGTTTGCTAATTTTGTTTTTGTTAGGGTAGACAAATCCAACTAGAGTAAGCCATACTTTTAAGATTTACCCAGTGATTTACCCAGTGTGCCCGTCAGTTTATTTGGAAGGTATCCCAATTTCTTGAATTTCTTCCACCCTTCGGTATAAAATATCAAAACGAGTACAAATTAAACTCACTCAGTATTTACAGCGGATAAGTATTTAGATGTTTAAGGAGAAGGGGGTTATGTGAGAATTATGGTATCCATAGATCCCTTAGTTAATTTATAAACGATTAAGGGGTAACGATGTATTTATATTTTGATTAATGGTGATGTTTTTAACTTTTTTACAGCGCCAAACAAGACGCTGAACAATTCAAGATTGAGAAGGAACAAGACTTGAACGAAAATGGGGTCTGCCTTGGAACAAATATGATCCAGGGTCAAATGGAATACCGTCTCCTTTCCGGAATGAGGCATGTCCTCGCAAATAACTTTGTTTACAAGAATCGTGCCCCAATGTCGAAAATTGTGGGGGATGCAATTCTCCCCCTGGATTTTGCAATTAGTTGGAAAAATATTAAAATTTTTCATACCTGGGATGATGACGTTACGAAAGATAATTCTGCATTTGGTGAAGAGTTTCAAAATTGTAGACTTGTGATGGAAGAATCCAGCGGGAAAAATAATGGTATGGGGCTAGCTAATTATTATTTTTGTTTTTAATGCATACACTCTTAGAAGTCTGGTATAGTCAGGCGCGTATTGGTTTGGCGGTATTGAATTTTTTACTACCCGGTATTAAAATTATACCATTTGGTAAAATTAGTTACTGCTATGGTATAACTTTAATACTAACTGAATACCATGCCGTATTTTTTATCTATACCATTTTGATAGAGTTATATATTAATACCGATTGGCATTTATTTAATACATGATTTCTAACAGTGTATAATTAAATATTTATTTAGTTCCTAAAGGGTACGTGAGACTTTGGTCTGGTCATAGCTGTGCACCCTCACCCTCATGAGGGCAAAATCGCCCTCCCTCATGTGCCCTCACCCTCATTTTCATGAGGGCGAGGGCGATGAGGGTGAGGGCGCTTGATCTTCATGAGGGCGAGGGCGATGAGGGCGAGGGCGCAAATTAACATATGAGGGCGAGGGTGGTGAGGGTGAGGGCGCTTGATCTTCATGAGGGCGAAAGCGATGAGGGCGAGGGCGCAAAGTAGCATATGAGGGCGGGGGCGGTGAGGGTGAGGGCGCTTGAAGCGGGTGAGGGCTAGGGCGCTTGAAGCGGGTGAGGGCGAGGGCGCTTGAAGCGGGTGAGGGCGCTTGAAGCGGATGAGGGCGAGGGCGCTTGAAGCGGGTGAGGGCGAGGGCGCTTGAAGCGGGTGAGGGCGAGGGCGCTTGAAGCGGGTGAGGGCGTGGGCACTAATTAGCGCATATGAGGGTGAGGTCTATGATGGTGAGGGCGCAAATCTTAAAATATTAAATTGAGCAACCAATTAGCATTACTATGGTCATTTGTATTTACTAATGCCAAACGATTCCCAAGACTTTCCGAGATTGTAAAAACTTATTTAGCAATGCCGTCGTCATCTGCCTCAGTTGAAAGATTAATCAGCATTGCGGGTGCCATAGCTCGAGCGCGGAGATCGTCTTTGACTGTGGCTACTTTGGAAATGTTGTTATGCTATCAGCAATATATTTTATATACGTAGTATTATGAATCAACATGATTTAAGTATTTAAGAGTAGGAAAATGGCCACTCATGAGTGGTAACAGTAGAGTAGAAGTATCAGATTTTCTTAATATTTAATTTTAATATTTAATTGACTTTGTTGTGACCATAAAAGTATATTTATCTCAATAAAGTTTATAACATATTTATGCCTTAAAAATATATTTAATTAATACAATGAATTTGGTGATAAGCTAATATTTAGAAAATAAGAATTCCATTTTTTTGCCATGCAGATGAGAGTGAGACGCTTGATCATGAGGGTGAGGGCTATGATGGTAAGCGAGCAAATTAGCATATGAGGGCGGGGTCAATGAGGGTGAGGGCTATTATTAGCATTTGAGGGCGGTGAGGGCACAAATTGACAGATGAGGGTGAGGGCGGTGAGGGTGAGGGCACTGATTAACAGGTGAGGGTGAGGGCGGTGAGGGTGAGGGCGGTGAGGGTGAGGGCACTGATTAACAGGTGAGGGTGAGAACACTAGTTAACAATTGAGGGTGAGGGCGGTGAGAGCGAGGGCACTACTTAACAATTGAGGGTGAGGGCGGTGAGGGCGAGGGCACTACTTAACAATTGAGGGTGAGGGCGGTGAGGGCGAGGGCACTAGTTAACAATTGAGGGTGAGGGCGGTGAGGGCGAGGGCACTAGTTAACAATTGAGGGTGAGGGCGGTGAGGGCGAGGGCACAAATTACCATACGAGGGTGAGGGCATGAGGATGAGGGATCGTGAGGGTGCACAGCTATGGGTCTGGTCAAGAGAATGTGGCGAAGGAGGAGGATATCTTCGATGAGGGTGAAGATAATCCATACGGGGAATGTGAGATTTACGAAGATCAGCCAAGTGAAATGAAGGAGTTTTCAATACATGGAGGGCATTTGGAAATCTGGTAAATATGTATATTAAAATCACATCACATTGTGATTAGTTGTGATTTTGATAGTCTCCATTTATTGATATTACACACGTTAGATGGCGACTATTAAAATCACTATAAATAAAAAAAAAATCTCAGAACTTACAAAAATGACACGATAAATTCAAATCATAAATTTTGATACTATATCATATCACACTATCTATATTATAATTTCGAAAAGTCCGTCCCGTTAAATTTTCCGTGACATTCCCGCATTCTGATTGGCTGCTGGCTTTCCGGGTCCGCCAATCAGAACACGCATGCGATTTTTCATTATAATTATGGTTACGGTTATGATTATAGTAATAGTTATGGTTATGATTATGGTTATAGTTATGGTTAAAGTTATAGTTATGGTTATGATTACAGTTATGGTTATGGTTATGATTATAGTTATGATTATGATTATGATTATGATTATGATTATGATTATGGTTATGATTATGGTTATGATTATGATTATGGTTATGGTTATGATTATGGTTGTGATTATGTTTATGGTTATGAGCAACGTTAAAAAAATCCTTAGCAACGTTAAAAAAATTCCATAGCAACGTTAAAAAAATTCCTTAGCAACGTTAAAAAAATCCTTAGCAACGTTAAAAAAATTCCATAGCAACGTTAAAAAAAATCCTTAGCAACGTTAAAAAAATCCTTAGCAACGTTAACAAAATTCCATAGCAACGTTAAAAAAATTCCTTAGCAACGTTAAAAAAATCCTTAGCAACGTTAAAAAAATTCCATAGCAACGTTAAAAAAAATCCTTAGCAACGTTAAAAAAATTCCATAGCAACGTTAAAAAAATCCTTAGCAACGTTAAAAAAATTCCATAGCAACGTAAAAAAAATCCTTAGCAACGGTAAAAAAATTCCATAGCAACGTTAAAAAAATCCTTAGCAACGTTAAACAAATTCCATAGCAACGTTAAAAAAAATCCTTAGCAACGTTAAAAAAATCCTTAGCAACGTTAAAAAATTCCATTCCATAGTTATGGTTATGATTATGGTTATAGTTATGGTTAAAGTTATAGTTATGGTTATGATTACAGTTATGGTTATGGTTATGATTATAGTTATGATTATGATTATGATTATGATTATGATTATGATTATGGTTATGATTATGGTTATGATTATGATTATGGTTATGGTTATGATTATGGTTGTGATTATGTTTATGGTTATGAGCAACGTTAAAAAAAATCCTAAGCAACGTTAAAAAAATTCCACAGCAACGTTAAAAAAATCCTTAGCAACGTTAAAAAAATTCCATAGCAACGTTAAAAAAATTCCTTAGCAACGTTAAAAAAATCCTTAGCAACGTTAACAAAATTCCATAGCAACGTTAAAAAAATTCCTTAGCAACGTTAAAAAAATCCTTAGCAACGTTAAAAAAATTCCATAGCAACGTTAAAAAAAATCCTTAGCAACGTTAAAAAAATCCTTAGCAACGTTAACAAAATTCCATAGCAACGTTAAAAAAATTCCTTAGCAACGTTAAAAAAATCCTTAGCAACGTTAAAAAAATTCCATAGCAACGTTAAAAAAAATCCTTAGCAACGTTAAAAAAATCCTTAGCAACGTTAACAAAATTCCATAGCAACGTTAAAAAAATTCCTTAGCAACGTTAAAAAAATCCTTAGCAACGTTAAAAAAATTCCATAGCAACGTTAAAAAAATCCTTAGCAACGTTAAAAAAATTCCATAGCAACGTTAAAAAAATCCTTAGCAACGTTAAACAAATTCCATAGCAACGTTAAAAAAATCCTTAGCAACGTTAAAAAAATCCTTAGCAACGTTAAAAAAATCCTTAGCAACGTTAAAAAAATTCCATAGCAACGTTAAAAAAATCCTTAGCAACGTTAAAAAAATTCCGTAGCAACGTTAAAAAAAATTCCATAGCAACGTTAAAAAAACTCGTTAGCAACCTTAAAAAACCTCCTTAGCAACCTTAAAAAATTCCTTAGCAACCTTAAAAATATTCCTTAGCAACCTTAAAAATATTCCTTAGCAACCTTAAAAAACTTCCTTAGCTACCTTAATAAAATTTCTTCCTGACCATAAAAACATCCTTAGCAACATTTAAAAAATTTGTTAGCAACCTTAAAAAACTACTTAAAAACGTCAAAAAAACTGTATAAAAACTTTCTTAGCAACGGCAAAAAATTGGAAAGTAACCACGAAGGTTAACAGGGATATATTTTTTATGTGGTATGTTGTGTACAGGTGTTTGCATAAATTCTACAGTAGAGTTGACACTGTAATGACCTGATTACTGAATTATTTCTTATTTTAATTTACGAGACAAGTTTTTATTTGGACCAACGTAATAATTTCAAATTTTAAAGTTTTACGGTTTTAAATTTTGGAATCAGCCCGTCTTTAAGACGGGCTTCTGGGCTAGTGTCATTATATTTTTTATACACCTTACTAAATATTATTAGTTCGTGTTTCCCCTTTATTGTAAAATTGGTGGTAGATTTTTGCTCTTAATTACTACTAAACTTTATTATTTAAAGCAGTAGACCTTCATCAGTCATGGTAAGTAGTTATAAAGATATTTAAGTTCACAGGGAAAGCGAGCATGACATTAATTCTTTACCTGTAGGAGGGTTGGATTGAACGAAATAAATTGGATAGCCGAAGGTATTTATTAATCTACTTTAAATTTGTGCTTGTAAAATTAGTCTTATTCATGTGTAGGCAATCATGTTCGAGTAGGAGACAGTCAAGAGCAAGCATTAGTTCGGGATATGAAACGATACAGAAATAAGATTTATTTCATATCTGTAAACAGTGTTCTTGAAATCACATCACGACGTGATTTATCGTGGTTTATAATATTTATATCATTTCTGTGAAATATTGAGATGCAGCATAATAGTCGTCATATAGGGATATTGCAGAGCAAACATATACCCCGCTAGATGGCGACTATTAACATCACAGGGATTACAAAAATAGCATATATATAAATCGTGTTAATCACATGAAATCACAAAAAGCCACGATGGAAACAATGTAACCATTACGAATGTACAATTTTTTATTTAATGTATACTTTCATACATATAGATCCGTCAGTACTTCATCATCCCGTCCTAGGTCACAATCGTCCACTTCAATATCTGGATCATCCCTGACACGTCCTGCTCAAGTAAAAAGTTTGGAAATGTTTCCACCCCAATTGCGTCACAACCTTGGCCGCAAGACACCCTTCCTGTTTCCTTCCTATGACCGCCGAACCTGGATTTTTGGACAGACCAGACTCCGACTCTGATTCAATGTCCGGTTTGATTGACGGTTTAAACATCAGCGGGAAAATTGGTGGCAACAATTACGGTACCGTTTTTTGCCTAAAATCGCAATCATTCTTGCACAACGCTATCTCCGACTTCCATTCGCGAGACGTTTCCGATGGAGAACTTTACGACGTGGTCATTTCCGGCGCTAGTGTTCAATGTTATATTAATAACGAATATGACGGATTCCGAATAACGAACAATTTTACGCCATCCTTAATCTGCGACAGATTCCCGCCAAGGTCCTATTTTTGGTTTAATAGGCGGATGCATAGCCGAATAAAAGATGGGAAGGATTTGAAATGGTGGATGCATCCAACTATGATACGAATAAGTTTCCGTATTGCAAATAATTAGTTATGGTATTGACACATACATGGGAAAACAAAAAGGTTGGGAAAATTCGCAAAACTTTTGGTGTAAGAAAGTTTAGATAATTGTCAGTGTTGCAAGTGGTACAAACCATTTTTTAGCGGACAGTGGGAAAAAGACAGTTTTTACACCCCACCCAAATCAGTGGGAAATGGGAAAACGTGGGAAAAGCGTTGGCTCCTATGCGAACAATTTAGGCTAGGTGGGGGGGCGTTTCCTCACTTTCCATTTTCCCACTTTTTCCCATTTCCCACTAGGAAAAAAGCCTTTTAGATTGGGAAATATGCAAAACTGATAATTGTAAATATGTTACTATATGAACTTGCGAAGTGTGCGTAAATACCTTTAGTGTACACATTTGTAAATTAATTCGCTATAAATCATGTTATTTTGCACGAACAGATCGAAAAAATCGAAACTTTTGGCTGTTCCGCAATCCCTCTTGGACCTTTCGAAGATTGCAACAGCGTCCAGTGGGAGTTGGACTTCTTCAATGTGGAATCCTTACTTTTATCCAATTTCAAAGAGATTCATTGGCGCGCCTATATATTCTCCGGCTTGATTTTTCGCGCCTTCTTTGCCACCTTTGGCTACCAAGGCATCGGTTTGAACCATGTGAGGCATTTGCTCTACAATATGGCGCATGAAGTGCCACTAACCGCGTGGAGCATGGAAGAACAAGGCATTCATTTAAAAACCTTGCTAACCCAGCTGTGCAAAGCTTTAGCGAAATGCAAACTGCCGAATTTCTTCATCTCGGAGCAAAACATGTTCAAGTATATTCCCCGCCATAACTTGTCATCTTTCCAATACCAGCTAAAAATAGTGCTTGACAATCTTTTGGTCAGCTGCATTTGTGCGCTACGAAATCTTGCACGACCAACGATGGAAAAGCGTGGAGAAGAGAAATGTCTGGATTTTAAGAAATTGTTCAAGATTGTTACAGTCGACGATTCAGATTTACTGCCTGTGGTTGGTTATACATTTCACATTACATATTTTACATGTCCCGCAAATTTATTTTTAATTGTTTCATTTAACAGATAAATCCTGAACTGGGCCCGTACTTACGACATTTCTCGGAAGAAATCCCGCACATCAGGAGACAAAATGGGGCTAGGAGATCCTCGATTTGGGAAATGGATATGGTTAGTAAAGATAATCTGAGAGGACAGTCACGCACAATTCTAAAATTTGCATGGCAACAGAAACTTGTCCAATTTTTGCAGGCTTTCTTTGCTCACAAGAATAGCCTAGAAATGTGCGACTTACAAACTGATTATAAACCAAAAATTTTCCGAATTTTGACTATTTCTATTTTTTGCGAAATTTGCTAAAGTTACGTATGACTATCATCACTATTACTTAGCTTATGCCAAATTTCTCCTATATCACAGGCGAAAAATGGGGCACGTTTCTCGATTGCATCTTGCCAAAATAATTTTGAAGAAGCCAAGTGGAAAGCGGATATTGCGAAATATTACAAAACATCGAGGCGAAGCATGCCCGACCATCCGGACCAACATATATCGGAAAGTAGGCGATATTCCGCAACTACACGAAATGGGCTGCCATCGCCGCCAGCCAATTTCTCTATCCTGAGGAAAGTCATGGTTGTGGAATTCTTCATTCAGCACTTTATCAAAATGATTTCGCAATATGTGGATAATAACTACTCCCTGATAAAGGCGGCTAGATTGATAATGCAAGTCGAGAATTTGTGCAGGATCTGTCTTAATGAAAGTGTGGATTTGGACAGGTCGCATTTACACAAGGGGACAATTGAAAAATATCAGGTTAGGATTTAAACATTTCAAGTATTCAGAGATAATATGTGATGCTACCTAGGAATTAAAAGAGGTGTACGGACTGTGCTAATCACAGCTCTGTGATTTTAGATGATTTTTGTGATTATGACAATTTGTGATTTTAATGTGTAGCCTGATTTTTGGACTACCGTGATTTATTGTGATTTTAATATTCTCCATCTCCATCATTCTCCATCATAGTCTAAATATTACATGTATGTAATACCGATAGATGGCGAATATTAAAATGACAATAAAGAAATCGCATACATGCATCACAATAAATCACAGTGTAATGCGATTTCCGGAAAACTGATTACAATTAATGATATTTAATATTAACAACTAATCTAAAATAAATTCATTGTACTAATCTAGGCAAAATGCCTCAAGTTTAGGAAACAGATCGGAAACGCGATGGAGAATTACTGTGGAAGTTATAAATGGAGCCGACGATGATAACAATAATTCTACAGATATGCAAGCCGTCCTGATAAATAGTGACAATTGGAAGTTAAGGCATAAACGAGACGAGGAATTTTCATTATTTTCAGGAAAGAATGGATTGCAGGGAAAAACTAAATTTCCAGACATTTCAAGAAGTCTGAATTCATTAATTTCTTAAATAATTGCATATCGTGTTTCATTGACAATCTTGGTAATAAAATATAAATCTTCATGTGTTTGCATTCATAGTCGGTTTGTGTGCATAAAATTGTGTTCTTCTGGTCTGTCAATTTAAAAAATTAAATATCAAATTGTTTAAAGTAATCAATATTTATCAAACGCATGGAAATTAATCGGATTTAAATTGATTATAAAAATTTAACTATTATTTACTCCTTTGTAAGTTGTAAAATCAAATACACGCAGGAATGCATAAATTTACACAACATGGAAAACGTGATTCTTTTGAAGGGTGCCTTAATTCGGGATGCAATTAGCGACCCCCCTAACATTAATAGTTTTGCCCCTACACTGTGGAAATGGACCCCCATGACCCCCATTAATTTTTGCCCCCAGGTAATTCTTTTTTTACCCCCTATATATCAAGCGAATCCCCCTAATAAAATAACTAATATTTTAATATTTATTTTATTTTTATTTTATTTATTTTTTTGAAATATCAAAGAGTGAAAGAGCACAACTTAATTAGAGCTAAATCAGAATGCATTATCATCTTTGCTGTTGCAAACTTTTCATTTTTTGAATGGACATCGAACGTACTCGGTTTGGTAGTTGCTACTATTGTTTAGAGATAAATATTTTATGCAGGGGGAAGTGCACAAAGGGTGTTATCGATTTGAGAAGCGTAAGGGTGAAGACTTATGTTAATTACAACACTGGGCATATTCGTTACACAATGCGGGACGGGATCAAAAGAATCTGAGAATCGATGACATGCTTTATGTACGGGCCCTAGACACGAGAAGAGATTTTATTTTACTGTGACATGTTAAACTGCTGGGACGCTTTTTCACTTCGGAACGGAGCCAAATTCCCAACTAGAATATGATCATGCTCAAAGTATTGCAAAGCACTTGAACTTGCTCCACAGTACATGTACATATCTGCATTTGGTGTGAGACGAAAGCCATCAAATCCATCAAATTGTAAACCTTAATGGTATAATAACGAAGTTAAATGTGGACAATATTCGACTTTTAGTGCATGTATGTATACTATTATATCTAGCATTTAAATAATTAACGTACAGTCCGTTATGGGGCAAAGGTTAGTGCGGTACATAATTCATGCCCCCTTAAGGGTCATAGGTTAGTGCGGTACATAATTCATGCCCCCTTAAGGGTCAAAGGTCCCGGTGCTGGGGTCAAACTCCCCGGGGTGTTGCACCAACGCTGTAAAACCTTGGGGGATTAATTTAAAAACTTGTATTCAAATCTATTATTAGAAAATGCAAATCTTTTATTAGCAAAGCGCGTGAATTGTACCAAGTACCGTACTGATTGACAAATAAATGCTTACTCATTGCGTACTTTTTGTGAAATCAAATTAGGACTTAGGTAGGCATTTCTTGAATTCCTAATTCCGTTTGCATCACCAGATTATTTTGTCGCTGGGTCCGTTATTATGTTGTTTATTCTTTGAAATCACATTTATTTCAGGAACACGTTTTAGAACGCGATATGAAGTCTTCAAGACCCCAAGTTCAAGATGAACTAATTATATATTTAAAAACCCATTTATAAAAACCAGGCCCACTAATTTATGCCCAAGCACGGAAAGAATTCGAAGGAAAAATGCTTAATAAAATTACGAATTAACAGATTAACATGCAAAATATTGTAAATACTATTGTTTTCATTGTCGTGATTAACTAAATACAATATGATTATAATTACGGCTCCACGTGCCAAACAAGTTAAATTGATTTGTGCTTTAAAAAAAACTCGATCTTACTACGAATCAATATTATGCAAGACTTCAGTAACAATCTTTGTATTATTAACAAGGTATAAATTGGTCATAAAAAACTTGATTTTGTTGGACATGTGGCGAATAAAACGGCACCAGAACCACGGGACATGTAATGCGTTGTAGATATCGAAATTTCCAAGTTAATTTTACAGAGCTTCTGACACAAATATCTTAACGTGTTAAAGTCCTCACATTTCGGCGGCGAATGGATGATAGATTGCGACTACTTTTCGAAGATTATTATTAAGTAGCTTCGGCTACTTTATGCGAAGACTTTGTCCGTCTTTCCGTCTGTCTGTCTGTCCATTAGTAGGATTACGGAAAACGAATCGAGATAATCGAAATCTGCGACATCTGACCCCCTGGGAGGATCCTTTCAACTTTTTGGGTGAATCGGACTACCCCCCCTGGCGCCAGGGGGTGGGGTTGGGGCAAAATGAGATTTTTACAAAAATCGAATCTATAGATGAAATACAGTAAAATTAAGTGTCTCACGATGTGTCACACCCTCTCATACTCAGGGGGTGTGATCGGAGTAAACTGAGATTGTTACTGAAACTGAATCTATAGATGAGAATTAACTCATAAATCCTGCTAAAAGTATTCACCGAAGCTGCTTCCGTATGTGCGCTTACTGCAGTTTATTTTCTTAAGAATGGCATTTATAAACAATTTATTGCTAAGTCAGTTGTATCATGGTCTTCAAGATGGATACATTCATAAAATTATTGAAAGAGTAGCATAACTAAAATATTTTATTCATCTGGTATACATACTCATATCGAATGTTGAATCAATAGTTGATACATGTGTACTTATAATCAGTGTTGCTACTGTGTGATTCCAGGAACACTGTGCATAGTCCTCCGGAGTGATTGTTATTTTACGATCGATAAATAAATAAAGTTATGGAGTACAACAATTCCATGAGAGAACCTGATCTCGTAAATATTTCCAAGGATTTCGTCACCCTTCAAGAACTCTTAGGGAGGGAAATCGTCCAATTATTTTTCACAATTTCAGCCTTTCTGATGCTCGTCATTGGTTGTTTTGGCGTAGTTGCGAATATCTGTAGTTGCATTGTCTTAACAAGACCGGCCCTTCGCAAATCACCAATGACGCTACTTCTCTTAAACCTTGCCGTGTGGGATTCTTTACTAATTTTAGGAGCAGTTTACACAAGTCGCTCCCCAGAAATGTTTTTATCACGAATAATATTCCCATCAACTTTTTTATTGGATCACCCAGTACCAGCGTTCCTCCCGTACGTGAGATCCTACAATGTTACGGGTTAGTACAAAAATGAAATTAATACTACAAAATCAACTAAGTAATTATATTGACTACTATCTGAAAAAAAAATTATCATGGTATTTTTATATGCCAAGTTGCAAATTTTTACATACTTGCGAAATTTAAATTCAGCCCGATTAAGCACCACCATGTGGTGGTGTTCTAGGAAACGTTATGGGGTTCGTTGGAATAGTTCCGTTTGCCGCCTTCTCAACGACAGCGCTTATTTTAGATGAGATGATTTAAAGGAGCATATTTATAAAGTTCAGCCTGATGTAATTGTAACATCGGTAATAGTTATACGTGAATTTTACTTAATTACATTTGCAGTTTATACTGGATCCCTCGTTTTCACCATGTTGGTTACCATAGAGAGATACAACGCTGGTAAGTGTAACATAATTATAATTTGTGTCCATAAACTTTTAACCTTTATTAATAAAGAATAGGACATATCTTAAATATTATTACAGTGTGTCAACCATTTCAAGCCATGAGTGGGGGTCGGAGCAAGAAAAAAAACTATATAATTATCCTTGTTGCTAATTGTTCTATAATCTTGATAAATTTACCGATGTGGTTTGCACTCAAAGCTGGCAAGAGGATGGTCCATGGCAGGGAATACGTTCAACTTGAACCGACCGTATTGTGGTCCATGCCGGCCTATCAGTGGTACGAGTCAGAAGCTGTACTCCTTACCTTGAGGTGAGTGGTTTTTAATGAAAAACGGTTTTCACTTATGTTATCAGTGTTCAATAAAAAGTTAAAAAGGCTGTAATGTTAAATTGCTTTGTGCATGCTTCTAAACTGTTCATCACTTGACGGGAGTGTGTTGGAATTAATGTTACATGCATAAGTGCATTCTTACAAATCAGGTATTGAATCAATAGACAGGTTTCGCAATATTCATTTTTACTCTGATTCTGAATCTAAGCCCTTTCGGTCTAGTGGTAGGAGGTAGGATTATCACCACGCAGTTCTACGTTCGAATCCTAGATCAGGGAAACTTAGTAATCCTACTTGGCTCGATCTCCCACGGCAGTATGGTGTATGGGAAGCACGGTGCCGTGAGCAATTCCACTCTTCCTGAACACTACCCGGCTTGTAGCCTTGGGCTCTGTGTAGTGAGTGATGGGAGAGCCATATAGAGTGCCCATTCTCTATATGATGAGCTCAACCTCAAAAATGGTTGTATAGAGGCTAGGCGCCGTCACCTGTGGAAGAGCATGCTGTGAAGCGTGAACAGGGGAAGACGATAAAGCAGCAACTTTTAGCTGTTTTTAACTAACAAATGTAGACCGAAAAAGTCGGTGGGAGCTCGTTCTACATTCAAATTTCTTGAATCTAAACCTTATTTTTCCGCCCCGTCTCATCTTGCAGTTGAGTGTAGAAATACACGTTCAAGTTGTATTTTCAAAATCCGTGCCTTGTTCTTAGTTATTTTACAACTGACACGGCGAAACCTAAACATTCTACAATATGTGAATGTAACTGTCGCACAATCTCAATCAGAGTAAAAATGACTATTGCTAAAGGTATCTAATACGAAACGAAATTCATACATGACTAGACTAAAATGTTATTGAAAAAAATTCCGTATAGTATTAAGTCGGTATTAAAGTTAAACCATAGCTGTAACGATTTTTACCAAAGGGTATACTTTTAATCCAAATGGTGAAAAATTCAATCCCGCGAAATCCATAAACGCCTGACTACACCAGACTTCTATTGTGCTATCGTTATCTTAATGGGAAAGGGTTGAATTGAATTTCAGCCCGCCTCCAATGTTAATCATCTGGGCACGTGATTTGTCGATTAGAAATTCCTTCCCATAAAGATTACGACAGCACAATAAGAGTGTGGCCATAGAGCTGTAGAAAGCATGTATTTCAAAACATCAAAAAAGCATGCATTTCAACAAAACTAAAACTTCGTGTTACAATACAGTAAAAAAACCTTTTCCATCCGTTATTTCAATAAGGTATGAAAAATAGTTTTAAAG